CAGCCTGGCCTCGAACTCCTGACCTCAGGTGATACGCCCACCTCTGCCTCCCAAAGTGCTAGGATTATAGGCGTGAGCTACTGCGCCCGGACTCTAACATCTTACTCTTAAAAAGCGGTGATAGGTCAGGTGTGGTGGCTCATGCCTGCAATCCCAGCTCTTTGGGAGGCCAAGGCAGACGGATTGCTTGAGCCCAGGAGTTTGAGACCAACCTGGGCAACATACATGAGACTCCATCTCTACAAAATACGAAAGAATTAGTTGGTGTGAGCCTGTGGTCCCAACTACTTGGAAGGCTTAGGTAGGAGGATCCCTTGAGCCAGGAGAGGTTGAGGCTGCGGTGAGCTGAGGTGACTCCAGTGCACTCTACCTTGGGCGAGAGAGCACAACCCTGTCTCAAAAAAAAAAAGCAGTGCTAATTTTAAAAATTCATTATAGAGGACTTGGTGTGTACACAAAAGTATACACATGAGTTTATGCGTGTTATGAAACCCCAACAGGAATCCCCTGCACCCACCACCCACCTGAAGAAAGCCAGCCTTGGGGGCCAAGCTCCGTGTGGTCCAGCCCCTCCTGGGCCTGGGGGCTGTCAGCTGAGGCGTGTTTCTGGCACCCGTACTCTTTATGCTTTCTCCACACACGCGCGCCTGTAGACAGGGTACCTCTGCAGTCCCCACGGCAGGGCCTGTTCCCAGGAGGGTTTGGGGGCTCTGGGCATTTTTCCCCACCCAGCCCTGGTGTCCTGCCTGTGGCCTGCTCCCAGCACCACCCGGACTGAATCACCCACCTTCTTTTTTTTTTTTTTTTTTTTTTGAGACGGAGTCTCGCTCTGTCGCCCGGGCTGGAGTGCAGTGGCTGGATCTCAGCTCACTGCAAGCTCCGCCTCCTGGGTTCACGCCATTCTCCTGCCTCAGCCTCCCGAGTAGCTGGCACTACAGGCGCCCGCCACCTCGCCCGGCTAGTTTTTTGTATTTTTTAGTAGAGACGGGGTTTCACCATGTGAGCCAGGATGGTCTTGATCTCCTGACCTCGTGATCCGCCCGTCTCGGCCTCCCAAAGTGCTGGGATTACAGGCTTGAGCCACCGCGCCCGGCCGAGTCACCCACCTTCTGTGGTGCCAGCACTTTATTTTAACCCTTAACTTGAAAAATGTGACACGTGCACAGGAGTGGGATCGCCCAGGAGAGACCCGTCAGCCTCACCTGTGTCAGCTGCTTTAGCACCTGCCCTTCTGGCTTGTCCCCCCGCTCTTTGGGCTGAGGGCTGAGCATTTTAAAGCAAGCCCCACGCATCATTATTTTCATTTGTGAGGCCTCGATCACTGTAAGTCAGATTTGGATTGTTTCTTAATTGGATTTTTAGTCACTGTTATTATTTCATTACTTATTTTTGGTTTTTGTTTGTTCGTTTGTGTTTGGTTTTGTTTCTGTTTTTGAGACAGAGTCTGGCTCTGTCACCCCGGCTGGAGTGCAATGGCGCAATCTTGGCTCACTGCCACCTTCACCTCCCGGGTTCAGGTGATTCTCCTGCTTCAGCCTCCCTAGTAGCTGGGACTACAGGTCCGTGCCACCATACCTGGCTAATTTTTGTATTTTTATTTTTATTTATTTATATATTTTGAGACCAAGTCTAGGTCTGTTGCCAGGCTGGAGTGCAGTGGCATGATCTTAGTTCACTGCAACCTTTGCCTCCCGGGTTCAAGCAATTCTCCTGCCTCAGCCTCCCAAGAAGCTGGGACTACAGGTGCGTGCCACCAGGCCCAGCTAATTTTTGTATTTTTAGCAGAGATGGGATTTCACCATATTGGTCAGGCTGGTCTTGAACTCCTGACCTCATGATTTGCCTGCCTCGGCCTCCCAAAGTGCTGGGATTACCGGCATGAGCCACCATGCCCAGCCTATTTTAGGTTTTTTATAGACAGGGTCTCGCTTTGTCACCCAAGCTGGAGTCCGGTGGTGCCATCATGGCTCACTACAGCCTCGACCTCCTGGCTCAAGTGATCCTCCTGCCTCTGTCTCCCAAGTAGCTTGGACCACAGGCATGAGCCACCACACCCAGCTAATTTTAAAACATTTTTTATAGAAATAGGGTCTTGCTATGTTGCTCAGGCTGGTCTCCAACCCCTGACCTCAAGTGACCTCAGCCTCCCAAAGTCATGGTTTTTAAACTCTGTGATGTTGGCTTTTGTCATTTATTTGTATCAGGCACTGTCACTGTTAGCTTCTTTTTTTTTTTTTTGAGATGGAGTCTCGCTCTGTCGCCCAGGCTGGGGTGCAGTGGCCGGATCTCGGCTCACTGCAAGCTCCGCCTCCCGGGTTTATGCCATTCTCCTGCTTCAGCCTCCCGAGTAGCTGGGACTATAGGCGCCTGCCACCTCGCCCGGCTAGTTTTTTTGTATTTTTTAGTAGAGACGGGGTTTCACCGTGTTAGCCAGGATGGTCTCGATCTCCTGACCTCGTGATCTGCCCGCCTCGGCCTCCCAAAGTGCTGGGATTACAGGCTTGAGCCACCGCGCCCGGCCTTCACTGTTAGCTTCTTGTGAATTTAACCATTTTTTTCTATTTTTCGAAAACTAAAACACTAATTTCTAATTCTGGCTTTTCAGATAATGATTTTTTTTTTCAAAAGTATTTTAACATTATACTGTAAGAAGCATCACATTGGCCGGGCGCGGTGGCTCCAGCCTGTAATCCCAGCACTTTGGGAGGCCGAGACGGGCGGATCACGAGGTCAGGAGATCGAGACCATCCTGGCTAACCTGGTGAAACCCCGTCTCTACTAAAAAATACAAAAAACTAACCGGGCGAGGTGGCGGGCGCCTGTAGTCCCAGCTACTCGGGAGGCTGAGGCAGGAGAATGGCTTGAACCCGGGAGGCGGAGCTTGCAGTGAGCTGAGATCCGGCCACCGCACTCCAGCCTGGGTGACAGAGTGAGACTCCGTCTCAAAAAAAAAAAAAAAAGATGGAAAATTTTGCTTTAAAAAAGAACTCAGGATGTCTGATTTTTAAAAGTCAACCCTGGGCATTTGCCTCTTTGCTTGGAGAACTTGATGGAAGCTTCTGTAGCTCAGAGTGAACACTGACGTGCGCCCCCTCTCCCTCCATCTGCACAGGCCCCAGGATGTGGCTCAAACCTGTAGACCAGAGAAAAAGCATCTAGAACTCCTGGGGGCCTTATCCAGGGCCCACATCCTCTCAGTGGGGGCAGCTCCCATGAGGGGTGCAGGCCCCTCGCCCCACACAGAGTCTGGGCAGGAACCGGAACCCGTCCTGGTTGCCCCGGAGTGGAGGCCGGGGAGGGGCGGGCGGTGGGTCTGCACCCGATGCGGCGGTTTGCTGATGTGTGTTTTCATGCCATGTAGATTTATAGTCTGTTACCAGGAAATTTTTTTTTTTTTTTTTTATGAGACATAGTCTCTCTCTGTTGCCTGGGCTGGAGTGCAGAGGCACAATCTCAGCTCACTGCAACCTCCACCTCCCAGATTCAAGTGATTCTCGTGCCTCAGCCTCCCAGGTAGCTGGGATTGCAGGCGTGCGCGACCACAGGCGGCTAGTTTTTGTATTTTTAGTAGAGATGGGGTTTTGACATGTTGAGCAGGCTGGCCTCAGGTGATCTCTTCATCTCCTGGCCTCAGGTGATCTGCCCACCTCGGCCTCTCAACATGATGGGATTACAGCCCTGAGCCACTGCGCCTAATTTTGCTTTTTTATTATAATCAGCTGGAATTCTGCCCTCTAGGGAATAACCCGGTCACCATTTGGACGCGTTTATTTCTGCTCTGTGTGTTGTGTGTGTACCTGTCACGCCCCCGTGCAGGGAGCTGCCTCTGTCTGACGAGGCCGCCTCAGCTTCAGCACCTGGCGCTTCCTCTAGACCTCTGCTGTGTTCCGAGGTGCTTGAGGTAGCAGGAGGTGGGGCCTGGTTCCGTGTGCTGACCTCACCGGAGCTGTGACTTCTCCCAAGCACCATCCCCCTCCTTCTCTCTGCAGAGCCCCTCTGCAGCCACAGGCTGGTTCCAGTTTGCTTTTTCATCTTTGCCATTAAAAACAGAACTGGGGCCGGGCACAGTGGCTCACGCCTATAATCCCAGCACTTTGGGAGGCTGAGGTGGGCAGATCCCCTGAGGTCAGGAGTTCGAGACCAGCCTGACCAACATGGTGAACCCCTATCTCTACTAAAAATGTAAAACATTAGCCAGGTGTGGTGGCGGGCACCTGTAATCCCAGCTACTAGGGAGGCTGAGGCAAGAGAATTGCTTGAACCCTGGAGGTGGAGGTTGTAGTGAGCCGAGATTTTGCATTGCACTCCAGCCTGGGCAACAAAAGCAAAACTCTGTCCCAAAAACAACAAAAAAAACCCCCACAGAACTTGATCATGTATTTAAATGTTTTTCTGCATGTCTGATATTTTTTGTTTACATCCCTAACACAAAACAACTGCTTTGGAGAGTCTTACCCTGGTTTGTTGTTTGACTTTTATTTTGATATGGAGTTGTTCTCTCCCATGGGCTGGAGTGCAGTGGCACCATCTTGGCTCACTGCAACCTCTCCCTCCCAGGTTCAAGCAGTTCTCCTGCCTCAGCCTCCTGAGTAACTGGGATTAGAGGTGCCTGCCACCATGCCCAGCTAATTTTTGTGTTTTTAGTGGATACGGGGTTTTACCATGTTGGCCAGGCTGGTCTCGAACTCCTGACCTCAGGGGATCCACCTGCCTGGGCCTCCGAAAGTGCTGGGATTACAGGCGTGAGCCACCACGCCCCACCTGTTGTTTGCCTTTTGATCCAATTCCTCAAACCAAGAGAGTGTGGAGAAGGCTGTATTGGAGCAGAGGCCACCAGAGTGTGGGCGCACTGGGGAGGGCATTCTCTCAGTACCCCCAGGTGGGCTCACAGGGGGCTGCACCCTCTGGGTTGAGGGTCCTGGGGTCCACCTTGGGGACCCTGCTCCAAGGCCCTGCTGCACCCACTGACCCCGCGGACATGGGTGTGTCCTCCCTTCCAGGACTGGAAGGATCACCAGCACATATGCGGCCAGTCAGCAGCTGTCACGGTCCAGGCCGACGAAGTCCACGTGGCTGAAAGCGTGATGGAGAAGGTGACCGTGTGAGGCTCCATCGGCCGCCCTGGGAGCTGGGGCCCCTCGCACTCCTGTGAGGCTTTTGCAGGTCGAAGGCCCCCCTGAGGACTCTGGGGGGACGTTGAGAAGAGGGGTGTGGGAAGGTAAAGAAACTTGCTGGACAAGTTATTAACACACTTTAAGCGAATGGTGCCCTGGGGAGCGGACTCCCCCCGCCCGGGCCCCCCGCCCGCTCGCGGAGAGATTTTTTATCCCTGGGATCATGAGCGTCCGGTCTTGCCCACAGGGCCTGTGCTGCGACGCATGTACATACGTGTTGTGTCTGTCAATAAAGTGTAAATAAGGTCTCCCTGCCCCACGCGGGCGGCCGGTTTCAGTGCCAGCCCTCAGGGGGGTTTCCTCCCCTTCCTTCTCCTTGTGCAGGTGGGAATCCCAAGCCCACCGCATCTCCAGTCCACAGGGCAGCGCGGCCAGGCCGGAGCCTCCGGTGCACGGGGCAGCACGGCCAGACTGAAGCCCTGGCATCTGGTGGCACCTGTAGTCCAGGAGGTCTTCATTCCTTCTGTTCCACGAGAACCTCGTGGCTGCTGGCAAGTGCAGCAGGCCTGCGGCCCTTCCCGCCAGGTTTCTGTGCACCCGGTACCCTCCTTTGCCCAGGCTTCCTGAGCAAGCCCGATGGCCCAGTGCAGCCTGTTCAGTCCATGTGGACGGCTCGGTGGCCTTGGTTCAGGGATCCACATGCAGAGCCTCATGGCCTCCTGGTCTCCCGCTTGTTTCTCATGGCCCTGGTGCCAGGTGGAGGAAAAAGGACTGAGGCCTGCATGGGACACAAGGGGGCATGGGACACCAGTGTGTTTGGGCACTGGGCTGGGCCTGGACATGGGACCCACCTGCCCTCCTGACTGAGAGCTCTGCTGGAGCAGCGTCACTCTTGTTCTGGAAGCTTCTGCGCTCATGGCCTGTGTTCTCTGCACACTGAAGGCTCCACGGCTGTGGCTGCACTGGGGCAAGAAAGTACAGACTCAGCAAAAGCTCAGCAGGCACCTGGGGTGGGCTGGCAGCGCCAGGAGGAACCTGCACCAACGATTCTGATGTTTGCCTCTAAGCGCTTTCTGCACCAGCTGGAGCTCTACGAGAGGCGGCCAGAGTTCCCCTGGAAGGGGCTGTGCATGGGGGCAGGGCTCACTGGCTCTGTGGGCCCTGCAGAGAACCCCCCACCATATTTGAGTCTCTGGGTTTCTCAGGACCACCTGGTTTATTCTGGTTTTCTATTTTTTTTTTCTTTGAGACAGTTTCACCCTGTCACCCAGGCTGGAGTACAGTGGCACAATCTTGGCTCACTGCAACCTCTGCCTCCCAGGTTCAAGCGATTCTCCTGCCTCAGCCACCTGAGTAGCTGGGATTATAGGTGCTCACCACCATACCCAGCTAGTTTAGGAATTTTTGGTAGAGACAGGGTTTCTTCATGTTGGCCAGGCTGGTCTCGAACTCCTGTCCTCAGGTGATCCACCCACCTCGACCTCCCAAAGTGCTGGGATTACAGGCGTGAGCCACTGCCCTGGCCTATTTACTTAGTAAAGTCTCCACCCAGCCGGGCCAAGCCCCACTGATGTTTCATCGTCCTGCTTAGACGCACTCAGTGCTGCCCCGTTGGTGCTGCCAGTGAGCAGTGGAGGCTGGAAAAGGTGTCTGGCCTGCTGCAGCACCCACTCCAGATGCTGCCCTCACCCCGCCTGTCCCTCACCCCACCTGTTCCTTCCTCTGACCCTCACCCTGCCTGTCCCTCCTGCCTCCCCCAACGAGATGCTCTCCCTCCTGTCCCTCACCTCACCTTTCCCTTGGTCTGACCCTCTTCCCCGCCTGGCTCTACACTGAGTGGCTTTTCGTCCAACCCAGCAGGGTCCGCCATTGCCACAAGGTGGAGGCATCTTAGAGGCTCTGCTTGGCCTCGGCACTGTCCAGGCAGGCGGGCCGTGGGTTGACCTCCATGAGGCAGCAGGGCTGGGCCTGCTCCTTTGGGTCTTAACCAACATAAAGGTGGCAGGGAAGTGAGGACCTGCCCCTCTAAGAAGAATCCCCCAAAGCTGGAGACACCAGCGTCTCTGTGCAGAGAGCACAGCCGCAGAAGTGGCCGAACCCCCGCCTGGTGGGGAAGGCACCGTGGGAGCCCCTGGGCACCGTGACCCCACCAGCAGTGATGCACCTGGCCGCCTGCAACCAGGCTCTGCAGGAGTGGAGTGGGGGTGTTCCCTGGAATTGCGGGGGCAACTTACTCTTCCCCGATTTTCCGTAAAATGGAAGCCGGAGCACCACACATCTCTTGGGATCCCAGGTTCCCACAGCTCCTCCTTTCCAAGCCTGGGAGGCTGATGGCCAGAGGTCGCCCCGCCCCAGGGCTGTCAGCACCCCCAGGACCCCCAGATGCGTGTGCACCTCCCGTGGCCTCCAGCACTGTCAGTGAGGTATGTGTGGGGCCGTGGGTCCTGGGACAAGGCTGACGGGAGCCCCTCCTTTACTCTCATGGGTGTCCGACAAGAATCCATTGTGACTCAGTCTGTTCCAGGGGCTGGCTGGGACAGGCTGGTCCTGGGAAGTAGGTAGTCGGGGAAGGTGTCCAGGAGGAGGCAGCCACTGAAGCTGTGACAGAAGTACGTGGTCAGCAGACGGGACGGGGCAGCTGCACTGACGTAATTGGGCTTGGTCGTCTCTCCACCCAGTATTTCTTCTTTTCTTTTTTGAGACAAGGTCTCACCCTGTCACCCAGGCTGGAGTGCAGTGGTGTGATCTCAGCTTACTGCAGCCTTGACCCCCTAGCTTTAAGGGATCCTCCTGTCTCAGCCTCCCGAGTAGCTGGGATTACAGGTGTGACACCACACCCAGCCTGCACTGAGTATTTTAGCTGAGGTTGTACCCACTGCTGTAGACTGCACAGCCCAGTCTCTCAGTGTTCAGATGGGAGCTTGGCACCATGACTGGCCGCCCTGGCTGTAGATGCTGCATCCCCAGCACAGTAAAGCTCCAGCCAGCAGGACTGGGAGGCGGAGGGCCTCCCATTTCTCCCACAGCCTGGGCCTGGGAGAGAGCTGGATCCAGTCCAGGGTGGGCTGTTAACTGCACTGAGGGCCCTGGGAGCCACCCCTCCTCCCCCAGGGTCAGGGGCTGTACTATGGTTGACAAAGCCAGGCAGCCCAGGGCAGACAGGCAGCCTGGGTCGCTCTGCCCACCCTCTGACCCTGCTGCCTCCTCCCTACTCCTACCCCTTGGCCCAGCCACATGGGTGGATGCTGGGCAGAGGCTGGCTGGGTGACTGAGCATGGAGCTCCCTCCAGGGAAGCCTCTTTGTGGGACCCCACCTATCACCACAGGCCCCTTCCTGTGGGGCTTGGGGCATCCTCTGGCCAGGGACTGGCAGGAAGCTGTGCTCTGACCTCAAGGCAGCTTCTAAAATGATATATCAGGCTCCCCAGCCTGGGTCTGCTGGGACAGCAGAGCCAGGAGACCCTGTGCTTCGTCCTCAGAGGCGGGAGTTGGCCTGGGCAGGGCCTGGCGGCTGACCGCCCCCCCAGCCCCTCTCGCCTCATTCATTTCTTCCCATTGGAACTGGGCTTCCCCAGGAGACACCTTGCTCTGCTCGGTGCCATTTCCTCTCCCCTGCAGAGAGGGTAGGCTGGGCCAGAGCACTGCCGAACTGAGTGGGTCTCCAGGGGCCCCTTCCCCCGCTCACTCTGAGCAGGGGGCCGGCTTGGTGGGGTCTGCTCTGTGGGCTTCCTTGGCGGGAAGGAAGGGGTTAACTGGCTGGGCGGCCTGGGGCCACTGGGGCAGAAGCCCTTCCTCCTCCCTTCCCCATCAACCCCAGGAGCCTTCACAGCTGAGTTTGGGAAGGAATTTGTTTAATTAACGTACAAAACCGCCCTCCCCATATCCTTGGTCCCGGAGGCCTGGCCACCAGGCCGGTGCCCAGGCCGCGGGGGGTGGGGGTGGGGGTCCGGCTCAGCAGCAGGCACGCAGGGCCTTGCGGAAGACATTGCGGAACTCGGCGTTGAAGACAGTGTAGATGACGGGGTTGAGGGCGCTGTTGACGTAGCCCAGCCAGGTGACCGCACTAACCAGCCGCGGGGGCACGGAGCAGGCAGGACACAGCGCCTGTGTGATGTGCACCACGAAGAAGGGCGTCCAGCACAGCAGGAAGGCCCCTGGGGGCGCCGAGAGCCACGTCAGCGCCCCCTGCCCCTCCGCGCCTCATACGCCTCCCCTTCTCTCTCCCCAGCCCCCCAGGGCAGGAACGCACCGACTACCACAGGCAGGACCCTCATGGCCTTGCGCTCCCGGCCGGTGATCTTGGCACGCCGCCTCCTGCGGGTCTGCGGTGGGGTCTGGGGTGGGAGCGCAGCGGCTCGGACGGCGTCTGGGGGCGCACAGTTGGAGTCGCAGGAGTCCGGGGGGAGGCCGGGCACGGGGGACGCACAGTTGGGGCCGCGGAGACCCTGGGGAAGGCCGGGCGCTGGGGGCGCACGGTCGGGGCCGCAGGGACCCTGGGGAGGGCCGGGCGCGGGGGGCGCGCAGTCGGGGCCGCAGGGGTCCTGGGGGAGGCGGGGCGCCGGGGGCGCACAGTCAGGGCCGCAGGGGTCCTGGGGAAGGCGGGGCACAAGGGAAGGAGGGCCGGGGCCGCTGGGTCGGCGGGGCGCGCGGCCGTGCAGCTTGGCGCGACGGGCCACCTCCCAGCGCCGCAGGCCGCGGAACGTGGCCCAGTAGAGCAGCAGCATGAGCGGACAGGGTAGGAAGAAGGAGCACACGGACGAGTAGACCACGTAGTCGCGGTCCTCCAGGCGGCACACGGCGGGGTCACGGCCGCGCACGTCGTTGAGGCCGCACAGCACGGGCGCCGCCACCGCTGCGGACAGCAGCCACGTGGCGCCGATGAGCAGCAGCTGCCGGTGGCTCCCGCCCTGGCGGTTGTAGCGCAGCGGCACGGCCACGGCCACGAACCTGCGGGGAGCGCCGAGGGTGCGCGGGACAGCGCAGAGGCCGCGGTGAGGGCGGCGGCGGCGGGAGGGGCGCGAGGGCGCGGGGGCGCGGGCGGGGAGGGCGGCGCACCTGTCCACGCTGATGGCGCACAGGTTGAAGATAGAGGCGGTGCACAGCATGACGTCCATGGCCATGAGGGCGTCGCACAGGCGGGGGCTCAGCAGCCACGCGCCACCTTGGACCTGCGCGGCGACACCACAGGCCCTGAGGTTTCCCAGCCACCGCGGGCCCTTGTGACCCCCTCTCTTATGGGTAGTTCCAGGGCTGAATATGGAGGAGGGGGCCCGGCTGTGAACCAGAGGCCAGAGGAGCAGGCAGAGAAACACCCCCTCTGCACTCAGGTCTCCCTTTGTTTTGAGTTAGGGTCTCGCTCTGTCACCCAGGCTGGAGTGCGGTGGCTCCATCATGGCTCACCGTAGCCTGGAACTCCTGGGCTCAAGCGATCCTCCCACCTCAGTCTCCAGAGTAGCTGGGACTACAGCCGCGCGCCACCATCCCCCAGCTGATTTATTTATTTTTTATTTTTGTTTTTCTTTTTGTTTGTTTTTTTGAGACGGAGTTGCACTCTTGTTGCCCAGGCTGGAGTGCAGTGATGCGATCTCAGCTCACTGCAACCTCCGCCTCCCGGGTTTAAGCGATACTCCTGCCTCAGTTCCCCTGAATAGCTGGGACAGCAGCCGCATGCCACCATCCCAGGCTGATATTTTCATTTTTTTTTTTTTTTTCTGAGACGGAGTCTCGCTCAGTGGCGCAGGCTGGAGTGCCCTGGGACGATCTCGGCTCACTGCAAGCTCCGCCTCCTGGGTTCCCGCCATTATCCTGCCTCAGCCTCCCAAGTAGCTGGGACTACAGGCGCCCGCCGCCACACCCGGCTAATTTTTTGCATTTTTAGTAGAGACGGGGTTTCGCTGTGTCAACCAGGATGGTCTCGATCTCCTGACCTCGTGGTCCGCCCTCCTCGGCCTCCCAAAGTGCTGGGATTACAGGCGTGAGCCACCGCGCCCGGCCGATATTTTAATTTTTTGTAGAGACCCGGCCCGGTATGTTTCCCAGGCTGGTCTCAAACTCCTGGGTTCAAGCGATCCTCCTGCCTTGGCCTCCCAAAGTTCTGGGATTACAGGTGTGAGCCACCACTCCTGACCTTGGTCTCCCTTTTGTTACAAACATGAGAACGGCCTGGGGAATTCCCTGGGGGTGGGGCCTGATGTCATCGGGCTCAAGGAGAGCCCCTCCCCAGCCTGGGGTAGGCAGGGTCCCCGCTGGGCCTAGACATGAAGCTGGCTGCTCTGTCCTTCAGGGCATGAGCCAGCCTGTCTGGTGAAGCTCTCTGTGGGAGACTCGGGCGCATTAATTCATTTGTTTCCTCATCTGTAAGACGAGGATGATGATAGTATCCACATAATTGTCTTGAAGATAAATTATAATTAAAAATATGAAGACCTGCCCAGTGCCCAGCGTAGGAGTCCACGTGGAGTGACTCTCTTCAAGGGCAAAGGAGCAGGCAGCCCCCTTAATCCCTTCCCGCCGATTTGGGAAGATTAGGAGCTTAAACGTCGTCACTGTGACGTCTGCGGCTCGAAAGGAGCACAGGTCATGCGTGTCCCGTGCTGCTGGTCTCTGCCCCAGCCGCCAGGACTCACCGTGTCTACCAAGGGGAAACCCTGAGTCCCCCCTCCTCCACAGTCCGGGACACCGCGTCCCCAGCTCAGCCTTAAGCTGCTTTTCTCTGGCTGCAGAGGGGCTGGCACCAAGTCCAACCCATCCGAGGGCCAGATCTGGTGTGGAGTGTGGGATCCATCCCCCAATTCCCCCTCGGGCTTCTCCCCAGGGTTCTCAGCAGGGGCCTGGCCCCCACACACCCTCCCCTGGGTTCTGTCCAGCCCAGGTCTCCCCTGTGAGCTGTGAGCCTCCTGGGGGTGAGCCAGCATCCGCACTGGGTGTGCGTGGTGGTCTGTGGCTGTGGCCGTGTGCAGTGCGTGTGTGCAGTGCGTGTGTGTGTGTCCCAGGGCAGCCAGGGGGCCGAGCCCGCATCTGCCTGCCTGTCCAGCTGGTTGCCCTGGGGGTGAAATCCAGCTGCCGGGCGGTGGGAGGGGGCTGGCTTGACAAAGTCGCCTATTTCTGGGGTCCCTAGATCGAAGGACGGGCATCTCCTGGATAGCAGACGCCAAGACAGAAGGGGAAGGGAGGAGAGGAACGGGGGTCGGGGGACAGCGCAGCGGGGGGAAGGTCGCGAGGTGGCGGCGGTGGGTGTAGCGCGGAGGGACCAGGCGCAGCGCCCCTGCCGCCGCCCCAGCTGGAGGCTCCGGAGCAGAAAGGGGCCGGGTCGCGCCGGGTCCTCCGCAGGGACAGGGACGGAGAACCGAGGAGCAGATGAAGATGCTCGTGCGGCCAGACGGGGCTCACCTCGGAGTAGACGAAGAGCGGCAGCACCAGGAGAGCGAGGAGGAGGTCGGCGGCCGCCAGGCTCACGATGAAGGAGTTGGTGGGCGTCTGCAGGGCGCGCTCGGTGGCCACGCTCACGCACACGAGCGAGTTCCCCGCGAGCACCGCGCCGATGAGCAGCACGCCTCCAACCAGCGCCGCCGCGCCCGGCCCTGCCAGCCCCGCAGCCGCCCCCGCGCCCGGCCCGCGTCCGGCCAGCAGCCCGTCCGGGTCCGCGGTGCTGCGGTTCCCCATGGCGCGCCGGCCCCAGGCGCCCGGGCGGGCGCTGAGCACCGCGGACAGCGCCGGGCCGCAAACCGGGGAGTCCCTCCCCTTGGGCACGCCCCGGCCAGACTCTGGTCCCGCCCCCGCCCCGCCCCGGCTCAGGGGGGCCCCCGCGGCGCTCCACCGTGCGCCCAGTATTTGCTCATCTTGGAATTTTGCGCAGGGAGAGACGGGCAGGCGGACGAATGCGGCGGCCCAAAGAGACGGGAATGAAGCGAGGTGGTGGCCATGGGCAGGCCCAGCATCGCCTGGTGCGGCGCGGAGTCCGCACCCCGAGAAACCAACAAGGATGGAGGGGCAGCCAGACCAAGCCCTGAAGCGCGCGGGCATCGACGCCAGAGCCATCCTGCCCGGCCCCTGCGTGCGTCCCGGCCCTCGGGCCGTCCACCTAGTCCACCTGGTGTCTGGGAAAACGTCCCTCCCAGGCCCGTTCCGCCAGTCGCGGGAAGACCGGAGCTTAGGCTCTGCCCGCCTCCCGGGGGACTCGCCTCGACCTCGCGCGCACCCTCCTGCCCGCGACTCCGCGCCCGACCCAACCGCCGACGCCTGGCTCGTACCCCCGCTCCCCAGCAGCCTCTGGTCCTCAGCCCCCGCGACCACCACAGTCAGCCGCGGCCCCACCCATTGCACAGTTGGTCCTCCCGTGGCCGCCTCCGATAGTGGGCCGGCACCTCCCCCCGACCCTCCACCCCCGGGCGGACAGCTGAGCGGTCGACCCTGCTCCCTCCTCCAGTCCCTCCGGCCCAAGACCCTGAGCTAGGTAGGCGTCCCTCTGACCCTGGGCAGGGGGTCCGGGGACCGGACAGTAGGTTCAGCCCGCGAGGAGGCAACGAGAAAGACAAGACAGGCCCTGGCAGGTTCCAAACGTGCAGAAAGTGCTTGCAAAGTGCAGCAGAGACAATTCTATGGACTCTTCATCAAATCGGGGTGACCCATGACCTGAGGGGTATTTTCTGTAGTCCTGTCACTAAAGGGGCCTAGAAGGCACTAAAAGGAGGCACCACTCTGTGGGACCCTGGGCGATGCACATCTTGCTCTTGTCTTTGTTTCTGGGAGGACTGGAGTGGAGGGGCCGTGCCAGGAATTGAGGCCCCTGACCTCAAACGTATGGAGGACACGGGCTGGACGAGGTGCTGATGGGGTGTGCATTAAAGGGAGAAACGAGGGCTCTGAGAAGGAGCAGGCACCGTGAGCGTCACAAGGCAAGGTCCTGGGGTCTGTAGGGGAAAGGCCTGCACCAGGGTCAGGTGTCCACAGACATCAGGTGCAGCCGCAGCCAGGCTAAGTCCCTCTTGTGCAGACCAGACTCCTGCCCGTGAACCCTTGTGCAAAAGAACTCACCACAGAAGAGGCTGGGACAGTGCAAGTGTCTTCTCTTCTAGGATGGAACCCGGGAGGGTGGCCCTGGGGTCTCCGGCTGGATGCCCAATGGTGAGTCCAGCCCAGCCTCTGGTCAGCTTAGAATTCCTTCAAGTGGCCCCCAAGATGTCTGCGACCACCAAGAGTGAAAACAAAGCCAGGCAGAGAAAGGATGTTTGCAGTACACATCTCTGGTACAGAATGCAGATCCAGAATATATAAAGAGTGCTTTTAAAACAATGAGAAAAGACAGACAATTCCAGTTTTTTTCTTTTTTTTTTTTTGACATAGAGTTTCTCACTCTTGTTGCCCAGGCTGGAATGCAGTGGCACAATCTTGGCTCACTGTGACCTCTGTCTCCCAGGTTCAAGCAATTCTCCTGCCTCAGCCTCCCAAGTAGCTGGGATTACAGGTGCCTGCCGCCACACCTGGCTAACTTTTTTGTATTTTTAGTAGAGACGGGGTTTCATCATGTTGGCCAGGCTGGTCTCGAACTCCTGACCTCAGGTGATCCACCTGCCTTGGCTTCCTAACGTGCTGGGATTACAGGAATGAGCCACTGCCCCCAGCCTATACTATATACTTCCGTTGTTTATCTGAAAATCAAATGTAACTGGATGTGATCGCATCTCACTGCAATCATGGCTCACTGCAGCCTCAATCTCCTGGGCTCAAGTGATCCTCCGGCTCCAGCCGGAGACCACAGATGCGTAGTGCCACACCCAGCTAATTTTCTCATTTTTTGTAGAGACGGGGTCTCGCCATGTTAGCCCAGCTGATCTCAAACTCCTGGGCTCAAATGATCCTCCCACCTCAGCCTCCCAAAGTGCTACGATTACAGGCATGAGCCACACACCCAGCCTAAACAATTTTTAATAAGGACCTCCACTCATACCTTACACATTAAAAAATTAACTCAAATATGCTGTCAAGAGAATCAAAAGACACAGACTGGGAAATGATATTTGCAAATGGCCACGTCCGGCAATGTTTTTTTTTCCATTTTAGTGTAGTAGGATGTCGTTGATTTTCCTGATGGCTACTCACGTTTGACCACTTCGCATGTGCCTGTTAACTGTCAGTGTGCCCTCTTCTGGAACGTGCCTGTTAAAAATCTTTGCTTTTGTTAAAAATTGGGTTGTCTACGCCAGGCGCAGTGGCTCACTCCTGTAATCCCAGCACTTTGGGAGGCCGAGCCGGGTGGATCACCTGAGGTCAGGAGTTCAAGACCAGCTTGGCCAATATGGTGAAACCCCATCTGTACTAAAAATACAAAAAATTAGCTGGGTGTGGTGGTGCGTGCCTGTAATCCCAGCTGCTTGGCAGGCTGAGGAAGGAGAGTTGCTTGAACCCAGGAGGCAGAGGTTGCGGTGAGCAGAGATCACGTCATTGCACTCTGGCGTGGGCAACAGAGCAAGACTCTGTCTCAATAAATAAATATAAAAAAATAGAAACAAAAATTTTAAAAATTAGCAAATCATATATCCAGCAAATAGCTTGCATACAAAAAATATTAATAATTCTCAAAACTCAACATTAATGACATCACAAAAAGAAAATTCCAGATGAGTATCCTTTATGAATATAGATGCAAACGTTCTTGGCAAAATATGAGCAAACACAATCCCTTTTAAAGTGCTGCCCGTCAGAGAAGCAGCTTTTTTTTTTTTTTTTTTTTTTTGAGACGGAGTCTCGCTCTGTCACCCAGGCTGGAGTGCAGTGGTACAATCTCAGCCCACCACAACCTTCGCCTTCCGGGTTCAAGCAATTCTCCTGCCTCAGCCTCCCAAGTAACTGGGATTAGAGGTGTGCACCACCACACCCAGCTAATTTTTGTATTTTTAGTAGAGACAGGGTTTCATCACGTTGGCCAGGCTGGTCTCAAACTCCTGACCTCATGATCCGCCCACCTCGGCCTCCCAAAGTGCTGGGATTACAGGCATGAGCCATCGCGCCCGGCTGAAAAGCAGCATTTTTTAAAGGATTATGTACCATAACCCAGTGGGATTTATCCCAGGAATGCAAGGGTGAGTGAACAGACGAAATTCAATGTCATACACCAGATTAACAGAATGAAGAAAAACCCACGCAATCATCTCAATTGATGCAGAAAAAAAATTTCATAAAATTCAAAATCCTTTCATGATAATAAGACTCAATAAACTAGGAGCAGAAACAACTTCATCAGGCCAGGCACGGTGACTCAGCCTGTAATCCCAGCACTTTGGAAGGCCAAGGAGGGTGGATCACTTGAGGTCAGGAGTTCAAGACCAGACTGCCCAACATGTTGAAACCCCACCTCCACTAAAAATACAAAAATTAAAATTAGCTGGGCATGGTGGCGCACGCCAGCTTCTCAGGAGACTGAGACACGAGAATTACGTGAATCCAGGAGGTGGAGGCTGCAGTGAGACGAGATCGCACCACTGCACTCCCCCCGAACAACAGAGGGAGACTGTGTCAAAAAACAAACAAACAAAAAACAAACACAGCTAACATCATACTCATTGGTGAGAAACTAAAAGCCTTTTAAAGAGACGAGGATACCCACTGCTGCTGCTTCTGTTCAACATTGTTCTGGATGTTCTAGCCAGAGCATTAATCAAGAAAAAGAAATTAGGCCGGGCGCAGTGGCTCAAGCCTGTAATCCCAGCACTTTGGGAGGCCGAGACGGGTGGATCACGAGGTCAGGAGATCGAGACCATCCTGGCTAACACGGTGAAACCCTGTCTCTACTAAAAAAATACAAAAAACTAGCCGGGTAAGTTGGCGGGCGCCTGTAGTCCCAGCTACTCGGGAGGCTGAGGCAGGAGAATGGCGTAAACCCGGGAGGCGGAGCTTGCAGTGAGCTGAGATCCGGCTACTGCACTCCAGCCCGGGCAACAGAGCGAGACTCCGTCTCAAAAAAAAAAAAAAAAAAAGAAATTAAAGGTATCCAAAATTGGAAAAGAAAACTATTGGACATGACATGGTCTTACGTATAGAAGATCCTCCAAAAACAGGCCAGGCTCGGTGGCTCACACCTGTAATCCCAGCACTTTGGGAGGCTGAAGCGGGCGGATCACGAGGTCAGGAGATCGAGACCATCCTGGCTAACACAATGAAACCCCATCTCTACTAAAAATAGAAAAAATTAGCCGGGCGTGGTGGTGGGCACCTGTAGTCCCAGCTGCTCAGGAGGCTGAGGCAGGAGAATGGTGTGAACCCGGGAGGTGGACCTTGCAGTGAGCCAAAATCAATTGCGCCACTGGGTGACAGAGCAAGACTCCGTCTCAAAAAAAAAGAAAGAAAGAAAGAAACCCCGTCTCTACTAAATATACAAACATTAGCTGGGTGTGGTGGCATGAGCCTATAATTACAGCTACTTGGGAGTCTGAGGTGGGAGGGTCATTTGAGTCCAGGCGGTTGAGGCCACAGAGAGCTGTGATTGAGCCAATGTACTCCAGGCTGCCCCAAAATAAAATAAATAATGAACATGGGTAAAGGACTTGAACAGACATTTCTTCGAAGAAGATACACGGGGGCGGGGCTCAAGCCGTAATCCAGCATTTGGAGCCGAGACGGGTGGTCCGAGGTCAGGAGATCGGACTCCTGGCTACCGGTGAAACCCG